ACTTCATGCTGTTCCAGAGTGGACTTTCATATGCTCTCGTTTCCAGCCTGTCCCCACTAAGGAGCAGTTGTTGTGTGAACAGGGCGGCACAGATAATCTCTATAGAATGTCTGAACAACACACTGAATAAATGGAACTGAAACCTGGGGAACAGTTGGAGCTGCAATCGTCCCCTTTACTCCCAGCTGGCTTTAGGAATTCAGATGAGGTCCACCTCTGGGAAAGGAGGCCTCCCGGAAACCACAGGAAACCTGTCCTAAATACCCAGGGTCTACATGATGGCTCAGTGCTGCATGAGAAATGATGGCTTCTGATGTCCTGTGGATTGATCTGCAAAGCAATGAAGTCTTTTTTTTTTTTTTTTTTTGGAGTTTTAGAGTGTATGTGTGCAGCCTGGTGTCTCAGACCAATGGAAGAGATCCATCATCCGTGATATTGCTTAATTCTCACACAGTATTGTGTGGTGTGCAGGGCAGGATTGATCATCTGGATCCTACACAGGAGGAAGTAGGGGCCCATGGAGGTTTACATGACTTGCCCCCAAGACACACGATTGCAGACTGGCCAGGACTGGACTCCAGCTGAGGACTTCTGATCACTTCTCTGACCCTCTGATGCCAGGTGCTTTTCACTCTGCCGTGTTGCTAATGGGCTGTTTCTCTGTGCAAAGTTATCATTCTGGGTTACCTAAAGGACCTGGGAAAGGTCTACGTTACCCTTCTATAAATTGAAGTTACATGCCTGGCAAGGAGTTACAGTGAGACAGCAGAGAAAACTACCGACTCTTGGCTCTGAGTTGCCATATTAGACCACGAGCTTCACGAGGGCAGTAACCAGGCCTGGTTTGCTCTGTATCCCAGGACCTGGCATAGTAAACACCTGAAGAAGGAGGGAAGGGGAGAGAATGGGAGGGATGAAGAGAGGTTAATTTCTTAGGATCACTGGCCTGCTGTGTCGGCTCTTCTCTCATTAGATTATCACAGGCGCTCAAGATGAGTCCTAGGATAGGACTTTGCATAACATGTTTTTTCTGGTCTCATTCTGGCGGTGTTAGTTTCTCACCTTTGTTTTTACTCCTGCTTTTAATTCATGTGATTTTGTTGTTTTCATTTTTTCCTGCTATACTTTAAGCATTCTTGTGGCGGACTAAGTATTTCTGGGACATTAATCCACCAAAAAATAAAAAAAAAACCTAGAAAAGCAAATGAATAGCTATACACACACATAAATGGCAGTGAACTTTTCTATTTGTGCCCCCCCAACCAAGAATGCAATATTATCTAGGGTGAAACAGTTCACCAGCCCAGGTTGGGTGCATGAGACAAGTGCTCGGGCCTGGTGCACTGGGAAGACCCAGAGGGATTGGGTGGAGAGGGAGGTGGGAGGGGGGACCGGGATGGGGAATACATGTAAAAAAAAAAAAAGATACACTATGGTTGTGATAAAAAATAAATAAATAAATAAATGAATTTAAAAAAAAAAAAAACCCATTCAATATTAACAAATTCCAAGATTTTTTTTCTCCAGTAGTCTTGCTATCCTTCCTTATCTTTCCAAATTCTACGCACTCTTTAAAACCTATTTCACCAACAGTTTCCTCCCTGACCTCAGCCAGCTTGTCCAGCTGTAGAATCATCTAACTGAAAGTGGCATGTGCTACTTTTGAGCTCTGAGGTTGGCGGGAGCCTGGGGCAGGGCAGTGCCATGAAACTCACTGGCCAACCCCCCCCCCCACTTGCAAATCTGACTGAATTCCAGCATGTGGTAACTGTTCTTGCCAGTCCATCTCCTACCACAAGGGCATGCCTTGGCCTCCCTCACCTCTGCTGACTCTGAAGGTTTATTGAAATTACGTTCCTACCTCAAGCCTTGTTTAAAATCCATCTCTTTCAACAATTTGTCTCTGTCTTCTTTTCTTGAGTGCCTTCCTATATCAACTACACATGCCAGTAGATTCACTGTTTTTTACTCTCTACATTATATTTTGTCCTTTATTATCTAAAATGTCATGAAAAAGAACATTATCCCTATAAATGCACTGAGGATGATTTGGAGGAAAAGGTACAATGGAAATCTCTGGGGTGAACAAGAAGGCTGTAATTATGTGGTGCTGATGACAAAGAACCAATGGGTCTCTCTGTGTTGGTTTCATTAATGATCCCTGTAAATGCCATCTGTCTTTGTTTTCCTTTACATCAGGATCATTAACAGATGAGGTCTGAAGGACTTTATTCTTTGAAGAACTATTAAATTATGTCTTACCTTATTCTGGATTCCTGTTATCTGTAACCTCTACTTGGCATCTAACAAAGTACTTTTACATGACTATTCTGTGTCCATCTTGTTCTCATTTTCTTCTCGACATCTCAAAGTACTGAACATGAGGTAGACTCACAGAGAGCCTACAGCCTACATTTTAGAGTTCACCCCACGCCCGGGGATGGCATTCTCCCACGCTCAATTTGTTCCTCTGAGGAACAAGACACCAGCAGTCTGAGCAAGTAATCCCAGTCCAAAGCAACATGTCTCTCCCTGGGACCCACTTCCTTTGTGTCAAAGTCATCGGTTTTTGTTTTTGTTGCACTTGTCCAGGACTTGGATGGGGAAGTGGGGTTGGAGGAGGGGATGTGCTGGTCTAAAGGGTGGAAACCACTCTCCTAAAGCACCACCCTGAAAACACATGGAAAGCAAACATACTCTGGCTGGTCCTGCAGTCACCATTTACAGCTTCCTTTCTACAGCTGCAAAAATATTGCATCAGGTTGTCTGCTTCTGACTTTGTTTTAGTTCAGTAAATAAAAATAAAGCTACTGATAAATGCCATTAGGAAATGTGAGCTCTCGTCCTGTGGTCCACGTTTCTGAGAACAGGGCCTGAAGATTCCTCTACACGTTAACTCTCCTGGAGGCTACTCTGAATGAAAACTGTCATTTTCTATGTTTCATGCAGGGTTGGACTGGTCTGCCACACAGAACTGTATGTATACCTAGCTTCATTTACATAGAGTCGGAAATAAGGGCTTCATTTACCTTATGGCAAGAATACCCTCCCAGACTGCTCAGTAACCAGAGCAGGCAACGTATCTGAAAAGTCCAGCTGCTGAGCCAAAGGCCTAGATGGACTCAGTATGACACTAAGACACTGATAAACACAGCCAGAAGATCCAAAGAAGTACACAATATAAATGCTTTATTGCTAGCACAGAGGTTTCTTTTTAAGTAAATTAAAAGAAATAAATCTTCATTTTCACATTCTATATTGCAGTTCAAGGTAACTAGCTGGTTAGTGGATATGTTCACGGGGGACACAGGCTATAGGAGAGCATGACATTCACACAAAAGAACTCAGAAATGTGGCATCTCTGAAGGCATCCAGCCACTGTCCTTTGTCAATAACAGCAAGTAGAGATTTCTTTAAAACATCATGAGTAGACACAAGGGTTATAAATAGACAACCGGCAATGTTAGAAAGCAGAAAACCGTTAAATACAGAAGGCTATATATGTGTTGCCCTTATTTCATATACTCTAGGTTAGGTTTGGTACTTTTAAATAAGTGATCTTCATCTAGGTTAGAGATGAATTGGATTCGGCAGCTGGAAAGGAAGTTGACACTGCCCACGTCATGGAGCCTTCACTGGGAAGCAGCAGTGGGGTGCTCAGCTAGGAGGAGACTGGGAGAGGGGGCCAGCCTGTTTCACGCCATGCCCCCCACCCTGCCAGGAGGCCAAGAGGCAAGAAAGGTGTGTGGACAGGCCACGGGCATGACAAGTGGAGCTCTGGTGGGGCGTGGCAATCATGGCACACTGGAACACTACAAATGGAGAAGGAAACTCCAGGCCTGGCCAGATCTTCCGAGGTTACCGCCGGTAGATCTAGGGCATGGGAGCCAAAAGCAACACTTGCTGCACCAGGACTAGCAGGTGGTGGGCACAGGGGACTGGGGGGGGGGTGGGGTGGGGCAAAAGAGGCTGTGGATTCCAACTGCAGGGAGAATTCACTTCATGTGAATTGTCTGCAGAATTGGACATGGAATTATTTCTACAAGGCACCCAGCATTACCTTCTTACCAAATTCTCAAATCCACTCAGATCACTTTTTGGTTGATTTGAAAGACAAGCTTTGGAAAAGATCTTATCACTCTATGAAAAATAGCCCAGCCCCTGACTTATTCCAGAATAATCAAGAAGGAATTAAATGCATACATGCACATGTATGCACAAACACACACACACACACACACACACACACACACACACACATCTCACACACACCCCCAAGTCATGCAGTGAGCTCCAAGGCTGTGAACTACACAGAATGGTCTCTGGAGCTCCATCTCCTCATCTTTCACTCAAGTTATTTATGGATGTAAGAAAGCCAGACTGGATCAGAAACTTCCTAAGTTCTTTCTCCTTAGTACATCTGCAGTGTACCAGCTCCTGGCATTTTCAATCTTGTCTGGCTCTAACTAAAACCATTTCATGTTTTGCTTTGAAGAAATGGATAACATGAAACGGTAATTTGGCTGCAAAACCTTGGAAAATTGTTCCCGGCCCAAACATCTGCCCCAAATGAGCTCAGCTGAGATCTCCTTGGAGGAGCAGGAGGGGAGCGTGAGCAGAGAGAGCCTGGAAGAGGGAAACGAAGACAATGGAAAGGCTACCTTTGCTCATGAGTGAGGTCCTCTGCGACAGAGGTATCAAACAGTACAGCTCCCTTACTCAGCCCCTCACCCCAGAAAGACACACTGGATGTGCCCACAGGTGCTCCCCGGGCCTTTATCCCATTTCCAATATTTGGTATCATTAAGGTGATCCCTCACAGAGTGCCAAGAAACCACGCCCACTGGCTTGCATTCATTACACCCAGTGAATGGTCTACATGCTGTCATTTGAATTGTTAAATAAGAACTGAGTATTGGGGATTCCTGAGAGCTGGGCCCCACAGGGAAAGCAGAGAGGGGAGTCGTGCAGGCTGGTCGTCACCTTCCTTCTTGGCCATCTTAAGAGTTCTTCTGGGGGATCTTTACTGTCACAGTCTTAACTTCAGAGTACTCTCGCAAACCAAATTCTCCCCTGAAAAACAGAAAAGGGCAGAATCAGGCACCTGAGGCCAAAACAGTCCAACGTGGGCTTTCCCTTCAGGAAATGGGGTAGAAACCCCATTCCTATCACTGGACACGGGGGATGTTGTCTGTGCTCTCTTGGGTTTCCTGGAGATCTAGCCCACTTCAACTGAAAGAAAACCACAAGGTTCCCAGGTAACGGTCCTTTCGGCTTGGGATTCTACATTCCTTCTCATTAGCCCTTGGGTTTAATGTGTACGCTCAGTCGCTGAGTCGTGTCTCTTTGCAACTCCCTGGACTGCAGCCAGCCAGGATCCTCTGTCAGTGGGATTTCCCAGGCAAGAATACTGGAGTAGGTTGCCATTCCCTTCTCCAGAGGATCTACCTGACCCAGGGAACAAACCAAGGTCTCTTGCATCTCCTGCATTCTTTACCATTGAGCCACCTAAGAAAGTGGAAACAAATACCTAAAGGCCTCCCATGGAGGAGTACAAATCACCTATAATGCCTTAAAAATAGAATCCTAAATAAATACTATCCACAGTTCTCCACCGAGTCAGGGGAAAGAGTCAAGAAATCAAAATAACTGACTGAAGAGGAACTGGGATGTGGTAGTAAGCTGTTCCCCAAGACTTGCCTTTGGTCACTTCCCCTCCTGGCTCACGGCACTCTCTGGGATCTTGGTCATGGACCAAGGCATCTGTATCATTTGGTAAACACACACTGATGGCTACTACCATGGGGCAGCACTGTGCTGGGCGGGGTGAGATAGAAACTACAAAACTGGTCCCAGCCTCTGAGGAGCCTGCAGGTGGTCCGGCCTGAGAGGGAGGGGTGGGTGCCAGGTCACCTGCCTAGGTGGCCACAGGAGACGAAGCCCCGCAACCACTGCTCTAAGGATGCTGGGGCAAGGACAAGCCTCCTTGACACCATGCTCCTTTTCTTCACCTCTTTTCTCAAGTTCCTTCTCATTTTACCTCTCTTTAAATGCTTCTTTTCTTTTCTCTATTTCATTGTTGGATCAAGTATGTTCTCTTAATTTTTTTCTATAAAATACTTGAACTTTTTTCTTTTTAAAGTTACTCCTCTGTGCAGCGTCTCCTCACGCTCTCAGAAGGAGAGCACCCTACTCCTCTGTGCTCAGAGCACCGTGTACCTGCCTCTACTGTGCTGTCTGGACCACGGGGCAGGGTGGGGGAGGGTGGTGGCCGCTCTGTCTCCCCCACCAATCTGTATCTTACTGATATAGCTTTCTGTCCTCCCCCACACCAAGTGTGTAGCCCACAGCACCAGGTTCAAAGAAGGGACCTGATAACTGTGGGAGTTATCTGATAACTTTCCTGATACCACACAAGGTTCCTCATTTATTTCCAGCAGCTCCTCTGAGCACCAGGGCACCTGAAGGGTCATGCCCCCTTCCCCCAGCCCCCAGGACATCAGAGATTGGGTCAAGCGTGCTGTCCTCTCATCTGCATTGGCCATCTTGCTCCAGGGATGAGAAGAATAAACTTGGGATTGCCCCATTCGTATATGGTTCCCTTGCTGGCTCCAACCAGGCTGTCTCTTTATTACCAGCTCAGCTCTGGCTCTCACTGGACTTGTTCCTGCCCTTGGGCAACTGTGCATGTGTCTCTTCATCACGGACATCATCTGCCTCCTGTTTGAAGCATGGTTACTCCCTTCGTGTTCCCATGCTTGTGCACGCACTTGGGGCAGCCCCTGAACCACTGCCCTCAGATCTCTAGCTAGGCTGTGAGAAACGGAAGAAAGCCTTCAAAGGCAGGAACTTGCATTCCAATGTGACTGTCAGATCCCAAACTTCTGGGTGCTCAAAGCAATGGAAAACCCTGCTGGACTGGGGTGCTCCTCTCTTGGATCCCAGGCAGCCAGCTGCTGTAAGCGTTCAGACTGCTCTGAGATGGAGGACTGGGTTCATATCTGCCACAGAAAGAAATAATGCCCATGGGCCCGGACCACAAGGAAAGCTAGTGAGAGGTCTTAGGACAGTGAGTAAAGCAGAACACTGGGGCAGGGGGCAGCAGACAGCAGTGCCACCTTGGCTCTCTGTTAATTGGCTGTATGACTCCAGCCAACTCATCCCCATCTCCTGGTACCCAGCTGTCTTTCTGACATCAGTTCCTGAATGTTAGTATACATATCACTCACGAAGCTTGCTTAAAGTGTAGGTTCCTGACCAATCCCCTCCTAAGATTCTGTTCCAGTAGGTCTGGGGAAAAGCCCAAGAGACCATGAGATGGGTGGTCATTGAACCCAGACTTTGAGCAATACTGCTGTAAGGTCTCAGAAAGCATTGACATTTCAGTTCTTCAGCTATTCTGCCATCTCCTTCTGGGGTCTTTCTCTCAAATCTACTGAAATTTTTCTTAATCCAGTTAAATTTTGTGGCACAGACAGTTCACAGTAAGGAAGCAGTTCACTGCTGCACAAAAGGCAGATGCACTCTTACTGACACGCCCCAGTATCTCTACATGGTCATCTGCCCAGCAAGGTCATGGCTCAGGGCACAGGACATTGAGAAGCCTATATTCCTGCTTCTTAACCAGACTAGGTTATATTCCCAAAGATGAACCAAACTCGGCGTACATATGAGGTAAAGTAAAATGTTAAATTTTGGTGTCTCTCAATCAGCTGTTTAGGAAATCACTCAGACTCATGCATAAAACAAACAAGGATTTCTGCTTAGGGTGTCTGTTTCCCTGCCCTTTCCTTTGGCTTACAGCAGCATTTCTCAGAGCAGGGTCCCTGGATCACCTGCACCAGAATTATTCCAGAAATTTGTTAAAAATGCAATCCTGGGCCCTAGCCCAGATCTACTAAATTAGAACCTCTGAGAGGGGCATCACCAGATAGGCGTGCTTGGCAAGCCCCTCTCCCACCCTGCAGGTGACCTTCCCATGCACCCGCATACTGTACACACACACACACACACAAACTCAGGGCATCCAAACAGCGCTTCTTGTCTTCAAAGCCTGTGTCCTTAGTTTTTAAAATGCTGAGGTTCACAGCTTTCTTTCCATCCCCCAGGTTTGTGACACATATTTTATAGCTTGGGCTTTATGACCTCTTGTCTCAGGAGAGCTTAATGAGATAGGAAAAGACATGAAGACTGAAATAGATGGAACTAGCTGAACAGGCAGAACTGAGAGAAACTCAGTCAAGTCTCTGACCCTAGGAATTAAAGGCCAACCCACTAGGTGAAAAACCAACTCTGAATATTCATTGGAAGAACTGGTGATGAAGCTGAAGCTCCAATACTTTGGCCACCTGATGCAAAGAGCCGACTCACTGGAAAAGACCCTGACGCTGGAAAAAACTGAGATCAGGAGGAGAAAGGGGTGACAGAGGATGAGATGGTTGGATGGCATCACCAATTCAATGGACTTGAGTTTGAGCAAGCTCTGGGAGATAGTGAAGGACAGGGAAACCTGGCATGCTGTAGTCCATGGGGTTGCAAAGAGTTGGAGACAACTTAACGACTGAACAACAACCATCTCCAGGTTACCTGCAGAGGGCAGCCCTCTCCACAGCTCTGTAGGGGAGCCATCAGAGGCACAGACAGCCCTCAGAAAGTGCTACCTCCCTTCTCTGTGCCTCTTAGTAGCGGGCAAGGCGATGCCAGGAACCAAAGTTGCATGGAGCCTACAGCCTTGAGAGAAACAATTCTGTCCAGCTGGAAGGTGAAGCAGAGTTTCTGGGACTGTATTAAATAAGAAGGAAGAGTGAAGGACCAGGGCAGGGCAGGTTCTTCTATTTGAAGCATTTCCTACCACTCAGGGTCATTTAAGGAAGAGAAAACATGTTTTGGGGACAAACAGGGACAAAGACTCATATAATTTAGACAAGATGAAGTGAGTCTCATTAGAGAGCACTGTTTCACAATTATTTTTTAAGAGAAAGCCAAATCACCGTTCGTGCCCATGAGATGAGTAGAGAGAGAGGCCACTAGTCTGTGTGGTTCTGACACAGCCAAACTGTTCCCTGGACCTTCTTTCTAGGCAAGGGCAATGTTTCCGATAGAAAGTTCTGCACTGGACAATGTCACAAGCTTCAATCCTGGTAGAAGGCTTGCCCCATGAGGAGCGTCCAGGGCTAGCCTGGGATGAGAAACTGCCAACCAGCGGTTACATACGACAAGTCTATTTTATGCCCATGACACACCCTGTTAATGACCTGTAACAGTCTATGGGAGCAGCATTTCCAGAGCCAGTGACGGCCCTGACATTTCAGAGGCTGCGGGAGCACAAACAGAGGGGCAGGAAATGAAACAGGGTGAATGTACCTTGAAAAGCAGGAGCAGAAAGTTAAGGCAAGTTAAGAGATGAGTACATGGAGACTTTATCAAAGCTGAAGGAATATTAATAAGGAGAAATACTAATAACAACAAATGGGTTCTGGCTGTAGAGCAACTGGGAGGCCCTGAAGGCCAGGAGCAAAGGGTCAAACAAGAGCAGCTTCTCACTGGTGTCACCACAGACAGAAAGCAGGTTGATGGTACTAGCTGAAAGTTAGGAAAACTGGTGCCACATTTCTAAAGTAATACATTTATTAAGAGAAAAATGGATTGTCTACTAAATGGCAGTCATTTAGTTGATCAATAATGATGATAGCAGCTCACAGTTTCTGAAGGTTTGTCAGACACCCTGATGGATATTTGGCATACTTGATTCTCACATTCAATCCTCACAGCAACCCTGTGGAGGAAGTACAATAACAATTCCCATTTTATAGATGAGATTGAAGGTTAATGAGATTAAGTAATTTGTCCAAGGTGGCACAGGAATTAAGTAGTAGAGCCAGGGTACATATCTGAGCTGTGATTCTAGAAACTCTGCTCTTAGCCTCAAAGCTAAATCTCAAAGCTAAACTTCATTTTCATGGTTTAATGGCCCAGGAGTAGAAATTCTTAGTTACAGTATGTAAAGATGTGAATCTTCTGTGCTGGTCCTGGGTTCACTCCTCTTCTCCCTAAACACCACACATTTCTCCCATAGTGCCTTTGCTCACCCTTCCCTCACTGCCACCCTGTTTTGCCCACCAACCCTAAAAAATTATTCCTCTCTCTTCATCTACTTAAATGTTCCTCTTCTTTCAAGGCCAATTCAAATCCCTATAAGAGATCACATCTAAAGTTGTCCTAGACTTCTCTGGCTCACACCATCTCTATCACCCCTGAATTCCTCTATCACTTCACAGGCTGTTCTGGAATTCTTTTGATTCTTTAAGTGATGTGTATTTAATTTATCCAACAAAATTTGAAGTAATTCAATGAGCTGGACCTTTCCCCACAGACCAAGGATCATGATTGGCACAAAGTATATGCTGAGTACTTGTTAGAAGATTAATTGTGAACTGAACATTTGTTTAAAAAAATGATATATTCAGTAATGCTGGGAAGAGTGGGCATAGAAGATATTTCCTTTTAAGAGTCACAAGATTTAGAAAACATGGATCCAGCTCTTTTCAAAATTCAAGTTTTGGGGATGAGGGCAGGTATCAGCTCAGGAAGACCCTAGCTACCGTTCCTTCTTCAAAGCCATTCTAAAAATCCATCTATATATGAAACTGCAAATACAACCCCTCTAGTTTTCCTCTGCCACAGTCCCATTTTTCACATCCTTAGCATCACAAGAGGGCAGTCCAGCTCTGATCCTGACCCGGAAGAGTCCTTATTAAACCTGATACCCACACTTCCTTGGCCAGACATCACAGAAACTAAACCACCAAAATTTTGGTTCTAAGCTCAGATCTGCTAGTTACTGGCTGTGTAACTTGGGCAAGCTACTTAACCACTCCAACCCTTAGTTTCTCACCTGAACCATCTATGAGATAAACATAAATGTATCTATTCCATAGAATTACTGTGAAAAGCAAGTGAGGCAAAATCAGACAATGTTAGATAAGAAGGGAGAATAAAGCTACATGCAGAGCAGGCATCTGATTAATACCTATTACTGTTACTGCAAAATTCTCATAATAGATTATCTTCCTGTAATCTCTACCAAAACATCCTCTCTACACCAAGAATGCTGCCCTTAAAATCTCTGGTATCTTCTCAGCTCCCACATCTGCCCTCTAAAGACCTTTCAGACTGGGTTTAAAGCAACCTCTCCACTTGCTTCTTCAGCAAGTCCCTTCCATCCACCCCATGTCCAAGCTCTATAGCCCCAAACTAAAAAGATCCAATAGGCACTGAGCAGGTGACAATGAGTGAAATGGGTATGTGTAAAAATAACAACCACCAATATTAAGTTCTGTGAACTGCAGAACTCACAGTTTCAACAATTCCACTATGGGAGAATGAAATAAGCAAGAAATTTAGATTTTATGGAAAGCCTCCTCTTTTTGGATGTCAGGTAAAGATATTTAAATGTTATGAGGGAAAAAACCCAAAACATTTCTCTAGGCCAGATTTGTCCCTGAGTAGGCAGTTGGTGACCTGTTTGAAATACACCAAATTCTGTCTTGTGTCTGGACTGTTCTGTACTTGCTGTGACTGCATGCACAGGAAGTGTTCTTGCTATTCCCTCTGCCTGGAATATCTTCTCCTAAAAAAATTGAAATGTTATTCCTTCTGAAACTTCATAGGCAAAATTAATTGGATTTTTTTCTCTGTACTTAACAAGATATTTAACCTGCTTCTATAACAGCACCTATTACATGAGATTACTGGTGCCTGAATTTTTCTCCATTGCCCCTTAAGGTAAGGGCATTGTTGTGTTTTAGTTATCCTTGTAATGTGTGTTTTGTTTATAGACATGTGTTTTCAACATAGTGTTTGTTTAATGAATGGATGAGAGTAAGAGAATTCACTGATGTGAGTACACTCAGTGCTGCTATTTGCAACTCTATTTCTCTTTGGGCACCAGCAACTTGGGACACTTACATTTCTCTCCCATTTCCAGACATCTTGAATCCCCCAAAGGGGCTCTGGGCATTTAAGGCATTGTAACAATTGATCCTAAAAGAACAAAACATGTACTGTTAGCATGAGTTCTGTTTACACAGAAATAATCCCACTGGTATGACATTTCTTTTGCAAGTTCTATTTTTAAATTCCTTTTCCCACATGAAAATTTTATAATTTTTTGTGCTTTTTTAAAATTGTTATTGGAGGATAATTGCTTTACACTGATGTATTTGTTTCTGCTGTACAACAAAGTGAATCAGCTATATGTATACATATATTCCTCTTTCTTGAGTCTCCCTCCCACGCTTTAGATTTCCTGATTTAGCCAATAGGAAGTGTCCCTTCTCAGGGTGAAGTCTTTGGTCAGTCTCCCCCATCTTTCCAGAGTTTATGTGCTTATTTCACACAGGCTCTGAAGAATTACAAGGCCCCGCGGCCCCCACCCCCACCCCCGCCCCACAGAATGTGTTATGGCCAGAACGAGACTGACCCTGATCTTACCAAACAGTCCCGGCTTGCATTGCAGAAGACACTGTGAGGGCCTTGTTGATGTCGTTAGTAAAGACAGCTGCTACAAGTCCGAAGTCTGAGTTGTTGGCTCTTTCAATAACTTCATCCATAGTCTTAAACCTCAAAATTTCCTGAACAGGGCCAAAGATCTGCGACAAAACAGATTGATCCAACGTGGATGCTTTGCCATCCTTTCACCTGTTCTCCAAATTTCAGGCGAGTGTATTCTGCCTTCATCATTTAAATGATGTTTAAGTTTAGCAGAATGTAACTGTAAAATGTCCAAAACTTTCCCAGAGTAAGATTACATAAGTCTATCCTTAGAGTTTAACACCTCCACTCCCTGGCCCTGCCTGGCATCCCTTGATTTCACTGTATGTTCTAAAGCTGTGTTCTCCACAAGCCCCCAGGCACTGCTCCAGAACTGAGAGCTACTCCTCTGGGTTGCTGGTTGATCTGCAACTGGTCCTCTCCTGCAAAAGTGTGATGATGCTTGGGTGCTTTCTCTTTCCTGGTTAACAGCCTAATGACCTACATCGGGGGGAACTTAACTGTTATCAATGTATTACTGAGACTAGTGATTGACTTTTACTTATATATTTATTGTTTATTTATTCTTTTGGCCAATAACAACTACAATCATAAAGTGCCATCACCTGGCCTCCATCTAGCTTGCTTGCCTTTTTGTCTAGCTTTTTTCTTGAAGTGGGATGTCCATAGCCATGTTTATTGCTACTGTATGATGTATATAAAGCACAAAGAACTAAACCTCTAATACTGTCTACTAGAAACACCCTGGAAACAGCCCTGGAAGACGTGGCTGCTCTTGAGGTCTATGAGCTACCTCCTCCTTGGCAATCCGCATGTCGTCAGTGACATTGGAAAACACTGTGGGCTCAATGAAGAATCCCTTTCGGCCCAGCCCCTTGCCTCCGCACTCAAGCTTGGCACCCTCAGCCACACCGCTTTGGATGAGCTCCAGGATCTTGTTGTACTGTTTCTTGTCAATCTGTGGAAGAAAGCACCTAATGACTCCAAGTGAAATCTCTGAAAATGGAGTAAAATACACTCAAGAAGCTCTCATTTGTGATTTTTTTTCAAAGTTTCATAACACCTAGTCATATCACATGGAACTGCTGTTAATTAACCATTTTTGACCTACAAAAAGGGAAATTTTGTATGGTTCAACCTAATACATCAAGAAATCCAATAAATGCACTGCTCTGCTGTTACTGACAAATCCTAAGTACCAGTTCAAGATTTAAGCAATGTTTCTCAAATGACAGAGATATTGGTCGATTGACTACTGACTTTTTACAAAAGTAAAAATTAGCCTTGTAGACAAATGAATAGTGTAGCAACTTGTACTGATACTAAACAGATGAAAACAACAGAGGAGCTAACACACAGCCCCTGTACATGGTGCTACACATCAAATCCTATTGGGGTAGTGTTTTTATGGAACTACAGTTAAACCATCAGAGGAAAGGATTAAGTTTAAAGAGTGAGAGCTAGTATCCTAGTCCATAAAATAAGGTCATTCTTGCCTTCCCCCAAGAGGCCCCCAAGTTACAGAGTCATTGCTCAATTGCTATTGTAAATAAAATAAAAACCTACACTCACTTAGGTTTGAACTGCTGTTAAAACTTTAGTCTTCTCTCAAATGGCCCCCAAGCTAAGGAGATGATGTCTCTCATCAGGAAAACCCATGCTCTCATGATCCAGATGAGATATGGTCTACATATTCCTTTAAATATTCTCAGTTCAAAACTAGAATTCACCTGGAAATACACCTAGATGAGTGGAGAGGACCTGCAGAGCTCAGGATTGCAGTCTGCATGGGGTCTGTGGGCCTCCTCCTTCACCACAGTGCATGAGGCATTCAGAGTAAGAGAGAACCACATGGCAGAGGAAAAAGCAGACAGCTCTTGTTCCCTACATATTTACAAGCTGCAAGTGGTCTCCCCAGAGTGGGTCAGGTTGGTGGAAAAGAAACCTTGGCAGCCGGTAAAAGGATAAATGGCTTCTGGGAAGGAGAGATACCTGCCCTCCTTGACTGTGGCACCTGTGGGGATGTCTTGAATCCAACAGTTAAGAAGTGGCTTCTAGTTAAGATCCATCTTGCCATGCCTGGATCCTTCTCTAGAGCCAAGAGACTCCAACTTACCCCCAAAGTTGATGATACCCTTAAGGCAGTCCTAATCCCTTAGTTTTTCAGAGATAAAATTTAGAAATGAAAAGAGAAGTATAAGACACAAGCAAGTAATGCCTTGATGGCTATATTTTCAGCCATGAAGACAACTGAGAAGGAAGAGTAAGGAGGATGGTGCTTTGTTGGGTTCGTTACAGTGTCCTATTTCTGTGCTCACCAGGGATTAAGAAAGGACATGTCTATGATTTCTCTACCTGGGGTCCCTGCTCAGTGGTGGGGTCAAAGGGACTCCCCACTATGCGCCTCTTGGCCCGCTCCACACTTCTTCTCACAAATTCTTCATAGATGGACTCCTCCACAAAGATTCGAGATCCTGCAGTGCAGCACTGGCCTTGGTTGAAGAACACACCCTGGTGAGCCTGCTCCACGGCATAGTCCACTACAAGAGGAAACAGCCATGTTCTCAACACCAATCTATGGGACTGCCTCCCTCCCCTCCCCAAAGAACCAGGCATAATGTCATGCTCACTGCAGAGCAGAACCGTGAGCAGCCCAGTGGAAAGCACTGGACTGAGAACACAGCTTTTTTCTAGTTCTAACCAGACCCTGACACTATTGGCTATGTTAAGCTTGGCAATCTACTCTTGGAATCCCTTTCTTCTTCTATATAAAAGAGGAATCAGACCACATTATCTATAAAAGGAGTCTCAAACCCCAATAATCCAAGGGGCTGGGCAGATAATGCATTGGTAGTAAAGCAGTGTGACAGAGACTCAGAACCCTTATGCATAGACATAGCCCAGGGTTGCCAGATTCCAAGTTTTAAGAAAAAACAGAAATTAATATTTTGTGTAATATTTAGAAATAAACATAGCCATGGGGCTTCTTAGGTGGTGCTAGTATTAGGAAACCCACCTGCCAGTGGTGGGTTGGCATGGGTTCACTCCCTGGGTCAGGAAGATCCCCTGGAGGAGGTCATGGCAACCCACTCCAGTATTCTTGCCTGGAGAATCCCATGGACAGAGGAGCCTTGTGGGCTATGGTCCATAGGGTTGCAAAGAGTGGGACACGACTGAAGCGACTTAGCACACACAGCACAAACATAGCCATACCCTACATTTGGCCTATAGACGGCCAATTTGCAATCCCTAATCTATAAGACCTTGAAGTTATGCTTTTAATTAGTGTTTTGGTGAATTAAACTGTAACAGCAATGATAGTCTTTGAAGACACTAAAGTTCCTCTATATTTACATGGAACTCTATAATAGCATGTGGTAACTCATTTTCATCTCTTGTATCTTATACTTGAAAACAGTATTAATAAACCTGGTGTCTGTGTGCTCAGTCATATCTGACTCTGTGACTCTATGGACTGTAGCCTGCCAGGCTTCTCTGTCCTTGGGATTTCCCAGGCAAGAATACTGGAGTGGGTTGCCATGCCCTCCTCAAGGGATCTTCCCAACCCAGGGATCGAACCTGCATCTCCTGCAGCTCCTCCACTGCAGGAAGACTCTTTACCACTGAGTCTCGAGGGAAGAAGTGTTTGCTAGTTGCTAAATGACTGACTCAATGAATCAATCAATGCACTGTCAGTGGAGTGCCTACATTTTAATAGGAATTTAGTTATAGAATTCTGATCCCTTTGACAACTAGTATAAAGCTGAATTCTTTGCAAATTCCAAGCTAGGGCTGAAATTCAGGCAATCTTCTTTCTGCTTTCTGACATCTCTAATAGTGAAATTGAGGGAGCAGGGCTGCTTGGCAGCATGCGAAGAAGAAAAAGGATGCTTGAAAGAAGTTTTGTAATTTCATTCCCTGAGAAGTTTTCCCAAACAGAAGGACCACTCCTATGCAGAGTAGACTAGAGAGCAGCCTATCAGGAGACATGGGGTTTCCTAGATTGTAGCTCCAAGCCTCTGTATAGTCTTACTGCCAAGGTGTGATCATCTCCAATTTAGGTCTATTCATACAAAAATGTGGAGAAGGGAATGGTAACCCACTCCAGTATTGTTGCCTGGAGAATCTCATGGACAGAGGAGGCTGGCGGGCTACAGTCCATGGGGTCCCAAAGAGTCGGACATGACTAAGGGATTAACACAACACACAACACACATACAGAAGTGACCATAGTGTGTCATCAACCTTACTGAAAGCCACGGGAGAAACAGAAAGGGGAGTGGGCAGCTAAACAAGAGAAGAGGGTGTGGGTTTGGGACAACGTTGGCAGGGCTGGTGAACTAAAAAATTTTAATGATCTACAAAGCTACCAGGCATACATGAGGCGTTTCAGATTTCTTGAATCTAGGCGGAGGCTACATTTCCAGTGTTGAGAGGCTTAAACCACACTGTTCTTTCCACTGTGCAACAGTGGCCAAGCCTTCACCTCTTCTATTATATTCTACAACATCGCAGAATCAAAATGGCTTTATGATGTCTAGAAAACAAACTCTATCTGATTATAAGTGGTCTTTCCCAAAAGTGGAGAGAGGTTTTTCTCCTTAGAATGAAGGGTCTAGACTTTTCTCCTTGAATGCCACTTAGCTTCAAAGACCTTTCTCTGCATGTTCTGTCTAAAGTGGAGAAAACAAAAGTGAGCACCACAGGGCAGTGTGCCAGGACAAGGTAGCACATACGTGGTGGACTTACAGTCAGCATCTGCAAAAATAATGTTGGGACTTTTCCCTCCAAGTTCCAGGGTTACTCGCTTCAAATTGCTTCTTCCAGCTGCTTCTTGGATAAGCTTTCCAACCTGAAAGAAGGGCAATGGAGAGAGGTTTTGCACTTCTTGCAATTGAGACCATAAAGTGGCCAGAGGCAGCTGTATGCAACAGTGGGACAGGGTAGTAGTGGACCCTGCAGGGCAAAGCACCCGCTGGATACACAGGATTGGCTCCTGTGGTCACCTTGTGTGGACAAGATATGTAATTTGGGATTGTTTCATGTCTGTGCTGAAGGGAGTTGGAAGACAGCTTTAGTTTCATGATGGAAGGAGCAAGGAAAAGAGGGTTAAACCTGATTCTTAATCACTGAACGATTTCTCTAAAGACAACTGGCAAGCAATATGTAACTAGAGATTTTCCACCACTGCACTGTGGCTTTTAGCTTTGGACTCTGGCCTCTAGAAAAAAGCCAACTGGCTCCACTTGAAAGACTTTTATGAGTATAAAACAAATTCTTCATGTATCTCCAAAAATGCCAGGTATGACTTTAATCACATGGCCCAAATATATATATATATGTATGTATATATATATTGATGTCATACCTCTGCTTCTGCCTAGGGCTGTAGTGAAAGGATTCTAAAAAGCTGAGAACCTGTCTTTATTTGTGTAATGCCCATTAATCTAGAATCCAAGCAAGCAAGAGGTGAGTTTGAAGAAAGCATTTCCAATTGTGTAGACTCACATTGTTAACAGCATTCAAAGTATCAAGACAGAAGCATGGATGCAGCACCTAGGGCCCCCATTCAAGAAAGAATGCATTGCCTCAGTGACTAGGAATGCTGTCAGCTCATTCTGAAAAGAGCTTCCTCACCGGAGGGGACACCCTCCCCTGGGGTCCCACACCCACTGCCTGTGGGTGGCAGTGGTGCCACCGTCAGACAGCTCTGCTTCACCACACCCACGTGCTCGGCTGAGGCCGTCAGGCTACACTGCAGCTCCACCTCCCCTGTTTCCACTGCCCTTCAGCTGGGATGCCCAATGGCATAGAACCCGCATGGCAAACCCTACCTCAGCAACTCCTTCCAGGGCACCTGGTCTGCACAGGGGCTGCTCTACTAGAGGACAGAGGTCACTCTGTGGAAAGCGCTGAGCCACCACATAGTTCTCATAGTCAGTGTGCCCTTGTTGAGATGAAAACAGTTACTCATGCCTGCAATCCTACTGAAAATAATGTATTTTAAAAGTCTAGGGGAAGAGAAATACTAAATATATGTTGGACTCCTCTAGTCTCTGATTGAGACCCTGACTGATAACTCCTCAAGCACTGTAGAGCAGTTAAAAGGCCCTGGAGCCTGGATTTTTTAAAAACTGATTATAACACTTAACAACTGTTTTGAGCTTGGGATTTAAAAAAATCTTTTCTGAGCCTCCATTCCCTCCCCCATAAATGGAGCCATTCCCTCCTCCGTAAACACTACTTGCATCAGAACTTCATGGCAAATAGAAGGGGAAAAAAACGGAAACAGTGACAGATTTTATTTTGCTGGGCTCCAAAATCACTGCAGACAGTGATTGCAGCCATGAATTTAAAACATACTTGCTCCTTGGAAGAAAAGCAATGACAAACCTAGAAAGTATATTAAATAGAGCAGAGACATCATCACTTTGCCAACAAAGGTCCATATAGTCAAGCTATGGTTTTTCTAGTAGTCATGTATGAATGTGAGAGCTGGACCATGAAGAAGGCTGAACACCGAAGAATTGATGCTCTCAAATTGTGGTGCTGGGAAAGACTCTTGACAGTCCCTTGGACGGCAAGGAAATCAAACCAGTCAATCCTAAAGAAAATCAACCCTGAATATCATTGGAAAGGTTGATGCTGAAGATGAAGATTCAATACTTTGGCCACCTGATGTGAAAAGCTGACTCACTGGAAAAAACCTTGATGCTGGGAAAGACTGAAGGCAGGAGAAGGGGACAACAGAGGATGAGATGGTTGGATGGCATCACCGACTCAATGGACATGAATGAGTCTGAGCAAACTATGCGAGATAGTGAAGGACAGGGAAGCCTGGGCATGAAGAGTTGGACATAACTTAGCAACTGAATAACAACAACATCCGAACTTACTTGTCCTGAGGATGCAGTGATCTAAGATCGATGGCCCTCAGAACTCAGGCTGGCACACAGTAAGTGCCCATATGAGTTACCCACATCCAGGTGCAAGAGGTCAGCCCCCACCTCACCCCAGAAGAGAAACAGGAATGGTCTGTAAGGGGTGGGGCCTTCCAAAGCCGGTCTCCTCCCAGGGCTCCCAACTATGTATGTATATCAATTACCTTGGGAAAACACCAAGGAAACTCTCCTACATGCCACCAATCTCCAATACTGCTCACTAGCTGGATTAAATGCTTTTTATATTTTTATTGTTACTCTACCTCCTGGCAAGAAAAATTTAGAAAATATACTCCCATTCTGAGGAAATCTAACTTTGGTAAAAGAGGTAAAATTAAGAGTCCCTCAGATGCAGAACACTATGGCTCATCGAAGGTGTAAGAAACACTAACATCTGATCCTAAGGATTAATGCGCAGACGAGTCCATGGCCAGACTGCCCTTACCCACTTGCCTGCGCATCTCTCTTCTACTTCCCAGGAATATGGGCTAACAAAGCCCTCATTCTCAAGCAAATGTGCTACTTCTCTTGCATGAGGGAAGTATGGGTACACAATAGAAAGGAGGATTTGAGCCTCTATGCTGGTCAGAGAACAGCAGATGGGTGAGATTAGGACTGAAGCCTGAGAGTCCAGTAGAAGCGAACCCACACGAGGGCAATAGGGCTTGGCTCTGTCTCCCCTGAGGAATCCATATTAACTGATGGGGATTCACTTCAAAGTCCAGGAAGATAAAGAGAGAAGAGCTTTCTCAAAGAAGATAATCACTATCACTAGAAGTCATAAACATTATTATTAATTATATTCAAACACTAGCATTTACTGAGTGGGTTTATATAAGACATTTACATGTATTCATTCACTTAGGCCTCTCAAAACCCCTACAAGGTAGGTATTATCTCATTTTAAAGAACAATAAGCTCAAGTTAGAAATCAATGGCTGTTACTAGGTTACCTAGATGGTTGCTGCAGAGCCTGCTGGGCTCTGTGCAGGCTGACTTCAGGGTCCAAATGTGGACCACTTCCTCTCCTTCCCTTAACCTCCTTCCAGCACTTTGCCTTCCTTTACATATTTGCTGAGCACCTAACACATGCCACATACCACCAAAACCTTGTCCTTGAACTTAGAAGACAGGAGGAATATCACTTTTTACAGACACAAATAATGATCACAGTTCATCAGCTACAAAACTTATATCCTGCCTTCAGACTGACTTTTGAAAACCAAGCAAAAGGAAGCAGAAACCACGGCTTTTACACACAGGAAGACGCTGAATAAATGTTTGGCATTGGTGAAGAGAGTGCCGGCCTGCTGGCATGACATTTCTGTTAGCTCTGTTCCCTGACATTCATCAAAGTGCTCTATGGCTTGGTATCTGTTGCACTAAGAATGCTGTCCAATGATTAGTATTTTCATGGCTACAGTAACTATACAAGAATCTGCACAGTCAATGGTCATCAAAGAAGAATACCTAAGAATAATTTTTCCTGTGTCAATGCTTTGCCAACCTTTCCTTAGAAACCAAATTTGTACTAAACAAAGCAAGGCAAATCTCAGATGAGTAACGCTTTTCCTTTTCATCTTTGGAAGAAGATCAAGTTGAAGCCCAGCCTCAAGAAATAACTGGATGTGTTACCTATGCTACAGGAGAACCACGTCCATCTAGAGTGGCTCATGACAGAATACTCTGAAAAATCCCAGTTTCTCATCAATCCCCTTCATTCAACATGTACTCCTGGTTCTCCTACTATGTGTTAAGCACAATGCTAGGTACTGCTCCTATCCACAAGGAACTCACAGCTAAGAGGATTCCCATGTAAACCTAACAGGTGTTCAATAAGTACAGAAAAATCTGGGCCTGATTTAATATTAGATCTCAACAGTGGAATTATGATTGTGCAGCATTTTGTTATAATCCAGGGTCAGGGTCCTTTGAACCTCACCCAGAGAAGTGGGCTAGGATGAAACCTTCATTAATTACAGGATTGGGTATCATAAGCGTTCCCATTTTACTCTCAGTTTCCAGGTCAGACTGTCTTTGAAGAATACATTACTACTCAGGAATTCTCCCCACAAATGGAATGAAATTAAGTGACCCTGAAGGGAGGCACTCCTCACTACGCTCAGCGGGAAAGAGACAACAGGAAGAATAGATGTGACTCCAAAGCAGGGAATTCTATCAGGAAAGAGTAATGTTTAAAAATAAAGAGTTCACATGAGAACTGACTCTTATAAAATATGATACGTCCTGTGCAAAGCAACCTAAAATATTACTTGTCTGAATCCCATGCAAAGGTTTCTGAAGTTAAAATCTCTGGGGTAGGAAAGTCCAGGAAGAAGTGAAGTACAGACATCAAATGAAGTACAGACCTGGGATTAAGTAGCTCATGTTAGAGAAGTTTTGTGGGGATATTTATGTGCCACGCCAGTCATGTTTATACACGAACAGAAGGGAGGAACATATGATGAGCTAAATGAGGCTGCCAGGATGGACAGGCCTTCTGAGTGGTTCAAGTCAAGGCAATGGGGTGGACTTTGTAAAACTAAACCCTATTCTGATAAACAGCCAATCTGTGAGGTAAAACAAAGAAATAAACAGTTTGAGAAACTAAATCCTGTACGTGAACATGGAGTAAATAGAATAAAGGCACAAAGACCAGATTTTGACCAAATTTATCATTATCTTTTTTTTTCAAATAAGATTTTCCAATATACTTACTATACATCCTGTCCTATTTTCTGACAACCTAGCTAATTATAACCTTGACCAGGTTAATACACTACAATTTGGCCCACAGGAGTGAGAAGACCTATTTACTACAAGCTCTGGCTTGGTTTCCAACTAACCTTTGATTCGGGAAAGTCGCTTCACCTCCTTGGGCCTCAGCTTCTTCATCTGACGAATGCAGACA